TCAGGTCATGATCTCATGGTTCATGGGTTCAGCCCCATGTCAGGCTCTGCGCTGACAGCTCAGAGCCTGGAACCTGCTTTGCATTCTGTGTCTTCCTCTCTCTGCCCCTCTCTCCCCTGCCACGCTCATGCTCTGTCTCTCTCTCAAAAATAAATAAGCTTTAAAAAAAGAAGAATTTTAAATCCTCCTTCCAGTATTTAAGTGATTTCTGTTTTTTCTGGTTAGACCCTCACTGATACATCACTTATCATTACTTGTCATTTTTTTAATTTAATTTGTCCCGTTACTTAATTGTTGTCTAGACCAACTACCTGTAAGCTCAACAGGGCAGGGACTGGAAATATCTTGTTCATTAGTGCATCCTCTGTGCCTAGTATAGCACCTGGCACATAGTGAACTGACTTATTTAATAATGCAAAGTAATTGTCAAGCGATGAAAAGAAGTAAAATTGATGTTTCCCAAGCAATCTTCAAATTTCCAAAAGGATCATAGAACTGTCATTTGCAAATGGTGCGTATTTATGCACATGATTTGTTGTTCAAACAGCAGCAGAGAAAAGGTGTTTTTTTACCTTTTCTGCCAAACACAGGCCTGGAAACAGCCTTCAAGAAAGAAGTGGTGAATTAAGGGGTCTTGGTTAAGGAATAAACTCATCTCCCAGGGACAGGCCCCCTATCTCAGACACATGCCCACAGCCTGCCTGGGTCTGCACCACTGTGCACATGTGCTCTGGCTTGTGGGGACAAACCTTTTTGCCGTCTCCACGGACTTCTGCTCCGCCAGCTCCTTCTGCAGCTCCCTCTCCTTGGCCTCCTTCTGCCCAATGGGGCAGTCCTCGGGGACAGTGAAGAGGGACAGGGCATCTTTGCTGTCCTCTTCTCGGAGTACTTTAGCAAACACTTTCTCTGCCAGGAGCCGGACTTGCTCGTCCACCTCGGAGATGTTCAGCTTGGGAAACTGGCGCGGCATCTCGGCTAGCAGAAAAAGAGCAAGCATTAGCCTCTGGAATTCCCAGATGGCCCGAGTCAGTGGGGTGGGGGAGGAGAAGCTACTAAAACAAGGGTCCTTGGGGTCAGCTGTCTTACTCCGGAATTCCCCAGACCAAACCCAGTGCACCAGCTTCAGAAACTAGCTCCATAAGTCATTGGATGTGAAGGGTATAGCACCACTCACCTTTCATGAGAAAGCAAATGTTCAGAAGTCAAAGAATGACCGAACTACTTGTGTTTCTATTGTCCCGAACACAGGGGACCCACAGCATGCTGGCAGTCCTACCTCTCCTGGCTTTGTTTCCATGATGGGGAAGGGATAGGAGAGTTCAGACCCCTCTCCTGCAGACTATCAGGGGGCCGTCTGGGTACAGCAATGACCAAACCTCACTCCCCACTGCATAAAGGGAAGATGAGAGCCCAAAGTTCTTAATGATTAGCCTAAGGTCCCATGAGATGGCCGCAGTGCTCTGGGCGATCCAAAGCCACATTCTTCATCACACAAAACACGCTCTTTTGCTGAAAAGAAAGAATCTACCATGACGGTTCTACCATCTCCCAAGTTTTCTGGAACTCTGAACAAGACACAGCAAATAAAATAAAGGTTTAGAGACAGGGATACTCTACCTTTCACAGCCCCGCTGAAAACTTACTTCCTCAAAGCTTGGCTTATCTCTCTTCACACTGGCTCCTTATTATCCCTAGCTGGCCTAAATTACCTGGTTTGTTCCTTTCTTTTCTTTCTTTCTACCTGTCTGTCTTTCTTTTAACATTTATATAGGACTTATTAATAGGTACACTCTGCCAAGCCCTTTCTACTTATTAACTCAGTGAATCCTATTATTCACATTTTACAGATGAGAAAATAAAGGCACAGAGAGCTAACTTGCCCGGGGTCACACTTTTACTAAATGAGCAGAGACTTGCGTTGTTCTCAGCCTTTGGCCCTCTGCCCCTTTCCTCTCTGAGCCTCTGTTCAGAGGTTTGAACCCAGGCACCTGGTCCCCATGCCTGTCTTCTTAACCACTACATTGTAGTGCTTCTCTTTGTCCAGCTAGGTGTCAGGATAGGTTCCCTGGCTGTGCCCAGCATCACTCCTACAGAATGAATGAATACTGCATCCTATCAACAAGCTACCTTCACTAGAGCAGCTCTGGAAGAAGGGTGTCCTGTCTACCTATTACCACAGTTTCTTTGAGCAAGGTTTAAAGAGAGAGGTGGTTTAGTCAGCCGGGAGACGAGGATGAAGGTAAGACAGGAGCCCTGTTTCCGTGTGGCCAGGAAAGGAAGCAATTACAGGGGAGGAGAGGTTCACTGAGCAGCCTTGGGACAGTCACTCTCTGTGCCTCACAGTTTTCTCCTCTGTGAGATAAAGGGATGAGACTAGGCAGTCTCCAAGGCGCTCTCAGTTCTAAGTGCTGTAATTTCTAGATACCAGAGAGCTTTCTGGTGCCCAGGGAGGCTTGCTGCTCTGGTGTTCTCATGGGCCTAATTCATGACACAGACAGGAAGGAAGAAAGCAGGTCAAACGCCAGTCAAAGTACATCTGTGAGCCCGTTGACTGTGAATCCAATTTCCTCCTTCCCTCCACACCCAGGACGATAGCTTTCCTGGGCCTCTCCCCTCCAAGTGATTGAGTGGGAGGGAGTTGCTGTGGAGGGAGGAAGTTGGCACATAACTGTGCTGATCTGTAGCAGCAGAGAGCAAGACAGTGAAGGCCAGACCTGCAAAGAGGAAGAGACAGAGCTGTCTGTGGAGACGTCCACATCCTGATAGCACACAGAAGGGGAAGCTGGAAATCATCAGAACGGGGCTTGGGGAAAAAGGTGACAGAGAGAGAAATGGAGAGGAAGACACAGAACTAGAGCCAGGGGGAGCTGTTAGGTGAAAAGGAAGCTGGACCCCATCAACCCCTCTCCCCACTCTAAGGCTGCGGGTCAAGTGCAGCATTCTACAACCTCACAGGGCATCTCAGAAGTAGACATCAAACAGGGCTCGGGCAAGGGGCAGCAAATGCCATAAAGCATCCATACCATTTGACAGAATAAACCCAGTTCCAGAAATTGCTTCTAAGAAAAGAATCTGAAGGAAAAAGCACAAAGATGTTTACCTGCACTATTTATATAAAAAGCTTTAAAGTGTCCAAATAAGAGCACATTCACTTGAAGAAAAAAGTCAAGCAACCAAAATTATAATTATGAGGACAGTGTAATCACATAAAAAATATTGTGAAATAACAGTAAATGAAAAAATTAATACATAAAACTGTACCCATGCTTTTGTTGCAGTGAGATGAAAATGCATTCCCTTAAAGACAAGGGCTGGAAGAGAGACACATACTCGGATGACCAGATAACAGGACTGCATGTGTGAGGCAGTATCTGACTTTGATCACTGATGCTGTTATAATGTCATTTTAACAAACACAAAGAAGATAGAAAGAACATAAATATTTTTTAATGTTTATTCATCTTTGAGAGAGACAGAAAGAGAGACAAAGTGTGAGCAGGCGAAGGGCAGAGAGAGGGAGACACAGAATCCGAAGCAGGCTCTAGGCTCTGAGCTGTTAGCACAGAGCCCAATGTGGGGCTCGAACCCACCAAACGCGAGATCATGACCTGAACCGAAGTTGGACGCTCAACCAACTGAGCCACCTAAGTGCCCCAGAAAATAAATAGACTGAAGAGGTTTTTTTAATGAAAGGAAACTAGGAAGAAAATCAAACTTCTACATCCCAGGTTTTGGCAATTAGGGTCCTCTCCCACCTAATCCACATCAGACACTGGCCAGCTAAGGGAATTAACAGCATTGAGATCCATCTCTGCATTAGCTCTTGCCCTGGACAGAAACTGTCCCCCACCACCTTCCTACCCCATAGCCCTTTCCCCTACAAACACACCCAGGCCTGACACAGCCCACCAGGCCTCCTCAGAAGTGGGCATGGGGTAGAGGGTCCTTTGTGCCTGAGGGCTCTTATGACAGACTGCCATGTCTTTCCATGAAGCATTTTCACCTCGCTGAAGTCAACTAAACATACATTTTGGGATGCATCTTTCTACAAAAGATCTTCTTTTCTCTTTAAATAGTTTAAACCAGCCTTTTCCCACCGTGGTTCCATGAAAGGTCAACACTTGTTGCTGGTGAAACAGGTCCTGTGGTCAGTTAGCAGGAAGATGCTATATCCCACAGTTCCTCACCCCAGATTCCCAAGGCACATCAATGACCCGAGGATAGGATCATATAGCAACATTTCCCCATAGAGATAGATTCCTTTCGTTGCAGAAGCCATATCAATCTCTTGCAGAATTATTACCAGTGTCTTCAATAAGTGGTGAAGACTTCACTCCATACCTTAGTATAGATCAAGTAACCCAGCTGGGGTGCTGGGCTAAGTCAGTGAGCCTTAGGAGCCCATTATACATCTGTCTTCCGGACAGCTCCCTCCTGCCAACCCTCCCTCCACAGCCCGGCTCTCTTCTGAGACCTAGAGACACCTGGCAGGGCAGGCTTATGCAAGGAAAGCCTGCTCTGTAGATGCCAAGCAGTTTCAGCTCCAGCTGCTTCTTCAAGCCTGGCTTTTACCCGTTTGTCAACCGTTTGTCAGCTGAAGCCGGCAGGCTTGGGAGGCTTAACCATAAATTCAATCAGCTAGGGATACAGCTTATCTCACTGTTACAAATGACACCCTGTGACGAGCTTAAAGAAGTGTCACAAAGTTAGAAAGCTATAAAATGCCACCATTTCAACCAACAGTTATTTTTCATGGCATCATAGCCCCTCCAGAATGGAAGCACAGTACCACTCAAATCCCCTCCTTACACAAATGAAGCTGTTTCTTGCTCTTGCCAGGCTCCCACTCTCAGAACCCATGACACAGACCTGAGCCTGGGGCTGGAGTCTCCATGGCTGATCCTGAGCATGCCACACAGGCGAGGCCCTCAGGCCATGGGCCGTGTATGCCCGGAAGGCTGAGCTGAGTCCGTGTGAGTGCAGCTGGCTGGGTCCTGTCTGCTGCTGCTGGGGTGGGAGGTCTCTGTTTTGCATATCTGTGAGCTGCCGTGAGCAAGAGCAGGAAGTGCCTGGGCTGGAAATTCTTCCATGAATATGAAATGTAAGTGGAAAATTTCCAAGACTCCTAAAGGGCCCAGGTAATGCCAGCTATCCATAGCTGCTGCGTGCTGAACGCGGTGTCCTGGCCCTGTTCTCAGCCCTCTCCAGAGCAAGACACAAAGCCGCTGCCCCAACACAACAGTTCATTCAGCCTTTCTGACCTGACCGAGCACAGAAGATAAGCCACAGCCTCCCTCTAATGCCCAGACCTCTGAAAGCCAAGCAGGAACGTGCCACACCGTCACCCTTGCTGCTTCCTCAGGCCTGGCCTGGTGACCAGGTTCATTCTACCAAGGGGATTGTCTACGGCACAACCTGGCCTGCCTTCCCTCACAAGGCCCCCCAAAGCAACCTCCCTGAAGGCACCCCAGCACTGACAGCAGTGGCGCTGAGCCCAGTTATCAATAGAGTTCCTCCTCTCCCTCCTCCTCTAAAAGAGCAAGGGCTTTGAACAGCTCCCTCCTTTCCCAGGAAAGGGACAGTGACTCTAGGAGAGGAGACTCCTTAGTACAGGAGCAGTCTAGGATGAAAAGCTGCCATGCCTTGTCCCACTCCTTCCTTTCTTCCCTGAAGGAATCTGACATCACAGGTGACTGGGCAGCCTGGACAGGCTCTACCAGATCCCGAGTACATGAGCATATGCGTGCACGTGCACACACACACACACACACACACACACACACACACACACACATGGAAAAGAAGCATGTCCCTCTTGACCCCCCCTGAGCCCACCTGCCCCGTCCTCCCCTCTTACTGCCGCTGTCTGCTCCCACGAGGGCCTCCAGCTCTGACTAGCCTCCTGGGCACTGGCTGCACTCGGCCACCCTGCCACCAGCAGCTGCTGCTCTCCCTGGGAATGGTAGAGCTGCCTCAAGTGACCCACAGGATCAGTTCTCTAAAAGCAAGCCTCAGAACCCACACAGTGACTTAGACAAATGGTACGGGTCTGGGAAATAACCGTGAGCAAAATGGCTATTTCTGTGGTGCTGTTGAAATCCTGGGGACAAGAGCCCAGAAAGGATGGGTCAGTTGTTTACCAGGAGGCTAGCTCCAGCCCTGACTTGGGCCTGAGTCACCTCCTCATGTCCAATTGTGAGATTGTGCCTTCCTAAGCCCACATAATGATTCCTGTGTGTGCAGAGCAGGATTACAGGGTTGACACATGATCCTCGGGCTGTTGCTGGGCTTTAGCTACCCAGAGATTATGACCCACCTGTCCTCACAGCTGTTTCATAAACACTGCGATCAGCAAGCTACAAGCAACCTAGGGGGAGGGGGATATTTATTCATTAAATAATTGAATGAACTTAAAGCATAGGGGGAAAAGGTCCAAGCCCTTAGTACTGCTCTGTCAGAGGGGAGGTGGGGCAAGGGATTCCTTCCTTTTGGGGGAGGAGGAGGTTCAATTGGGGCTGTAGTGGGAGCATCCTAGCCCATGCATCTGAGAACCTACCTGGATCCAGTTCAGGGAATTCTATTCTGCACCTGTAACCAGACCATAGATAGCCTCAGTCTAAACAAGCATTTTCCAAAGCGTAGTCTATAGAACATAAAAGGACAGAAGATGGGGTGCCTGGGTGGCTGAGTCGGTTAAGCATCTGCCTTCAGCTCAGGTCATGATCTCATGGTTTGTGGGTTTGAGTCCCACGTCCGGCTCTGTGCTGATAGCTCGGAGCCTGGAGCCTGCTTCAGATTCTGTATCTCTTCTCTCTCTCTCTGTCTCTCTCTCTCTCTCTCTCTTTCTTGATGCCCCTCCCCCACTCATGCTCTGTCTCTCTCTCTCAAAAACAAATAAACATTAAAAACAATTTTTAAAAAAAGGACAGAAGGCTTGGAAAATGCTGCACACAATAATCCCTTACGGGGATTCATGCACAATCTCTACTAGCAGAGAGTCCCATAGTAAAGAAAGCTGTTTGACTTTGTTTAGCCCAACACACCTATTTGACCCTCTGACCATAACCACCATAGGAAAAAACACCTATTAATATCCGTGGCATAGGCTTTGGAAAATGCCTTCCGCTTTGAGCCTTCATTTTCCAACATAGAGAAAACTGCCTTCCTGAGGCCCAGGTAGGGGTGTGAGACTCACTCCATTAGGTCTGGACAGAGATGGGCAGCAGCCCAGCGAAGGTAACGTAGGTGGGGACAATGGCCAAGGGTCCTGCTAGTGCCAAAGAGATAGAGGACCCTCCAGAACAGTGGCAGTTTATGAGGAAAATGTGGCTTGTCTTGGGAGGGCGAACTTTGCTCATGACCTCACAAATCCATCTTGAGCTTAATATGTCACTGCTCCTTGTGGCCCAGAAGTCTCCCTGGACTAAGGAGTACTGGTCTCAAGCTCAAAGACTTATTTCTTTTTTGAATAAAAACTAAGACAATCTATGACAACCGGGCCCAGGGCCTGTATCTCCTTCCCAGGAGACCAGACTGCATCACTTTTATCACTTAAGTGCCCCTCACAAACTCCAAGACAGGAAAGGCTAGAATCAAATTATGTCTCACCAAGGAATATATTACTCTCCCTTTTTCTGAAATGATGCTTTGAGCTTTCTGATAGGAGTTGATTTTCCTTCTTTGTCTTCCTGAGGTGTGCATGACTCACACGGCAGTTGGACAAAAGGGTTCCACCTGTTAAAAATCAGCTCCATGACAGATCTTGTTCATCTCATTCACTATTGTATCCCCATGCCTAGAATATAGTGGGTATCAATAAATATTCCTTGAATGAATGAATGCATGCATAAAATAATGAATGAGTGAATAAGCTAAGTGATTAATCCATCTATGGGGATGTCAAGAGTCAGTACAGTATATGGTTAAGTATATGGACTCAAGCCAGACTACCTAGGGTTTGAATCCTGTTCCACAACTTAACTGCGTGACCTTGAGCAAGTTACTCAATTTCTCTGGCTTAGTTTTATTCCCTATGAGCACCAACCTCATAGGTTGTCATGGCAATTAACTTAGTTAGCATATGTAAATACGCTAGAATAACTTAGTTAGCATATGTAAATACGCTTAGAATAGTGCCTGGCACATAGTATGTGCTTTATATCATAAAGTTATTTATCAACATCATCGTCATCATGGTATCCGGTACAAGACAGAGTCCAACTGGGAAAACAAAACATGAAGTTTCATCCAGACACTGAGTCCTTTTATTCAACATTATTTATTGAGCACTGTTGTGTGCCAGGCACTCTCTCAAGCTCCTATTTGGGA